TAAAAAATCCAATCCATTTTATATTTTATATATAAAACGGTGCCTGGTGACAAGATGTACAATTTTACAATTGATTTTTATGAATTTTTTTATATATATAAATTAATTTTATTCATTAAACAGCGAAATAAATGTAAATAAAAAAAATAATTTAACAAAAAATATAAAATAATAAATAGCCACAAGCAAAAAATGCACATCTTTTATTTAAATTTTTAAGTAACGTTTTTAGTTCAACTTAATCAACTTCTTCTAAAACCATTTTCTTATTCTCGATTTCTCTCCGCACAAAGGCATTAAAAAAAAAAACACAAAAAAATTATAAAATCAATAAATACAAAAAAATATAAAATCAAAAAACACGAAAAAAATAAAAAATTTATAAAACAAAAATATATATATATATGTATATATAAAAAGTCGAAAAGATATTTTAAAGGAAAAATAGGCATATATATTATAAAATATATTCTATAAAATCAATGTTAAAACCTATGTAAAAAACTTTTTTTACATAGGTTTTAACATTGTTAAAACCTATGTAAAAAAAGTTTTTTATATATACATATATATATATATATATATATATATATATATATATATATATATATATATATATATATATATATATATATATGTATATATAAAAACGGAAATATTTCTTTAATTGTAAAGAGGATATATTTATTTATAACGCAGAAATAGTTTATAAAATTTGTAAATATTTATTATTTTGTAATAAAAAAAAAAAAAAAGCAATGAAATGAAAAACGGAAAAAAACACATCTAAACTACATTTTAGTATTTGTGTTAATAAGGTATGCACCATAAAAAGGAGATTATTTAGTTTTCAGAAGGCGATTTAATAAGTATGGCAAAGAGTTAAGCTGGCGTCGTTTCTTCCGGAAAACCATCTGTTCAGAAGAAAAGTAACCTTGGTACTTTCGATTCAAAATCTATGTCCGATTCTTCTAATGTACTCGTGTGTCGATACTGCGATTTGAAATTTAGCATAAATGATTTTCTTTCGGTCTAAACCAAGAAAAACTTACTCGAAAATGTTTGGGGTGTCACGAGACACTACTCTAACAAGCTGTTTGAGTTTGCAGTTGTTAATGATTCCTCAGTGGCTACATTTCTTGAAAGCGACATTGAAATCAAAGGTTGCGTTTTAACTTTTCAACAAAAATTTGTCCGTAAGGTGGATGTTTTAGTGCAAAATATACCAATCGGCACACTAAGGAATGGCTGTCAAAACGCTATTATTCTACTGGGAAAACACCTAGCTGCAGGAAGAGGTGAGTTTGATACTTTTTATCTTCAAAAGTGTAAAACCCACGGCGAAGGCATCTTTACTGGCAATGTCATTGTAGTTATCAAAAATTGGAAAAATCCATATCAAAACACCTTTCCCCGATATGAAAACGTTGATGGTCTAACTCTCCGCTACAAACATAATGGCCAACCCGAATCAAACCCTCCAAAAGCCAGCAAACCCTACCGTTATACCCTCACCCTCAAACTCAATACCACCAACTGTTCCGAAGATCATCGTTGCAAAGGTAGATATTGATGTTAAGGTGGTAGTATACCATTAAAAAAAAAACTTGCAATTTAACTTTTTTTTCAATTATTAATAGTGAATAACATATATTATATGATTAAAATATAAGTAATAATTTAAAAAGTTAAAAAAATTAATTATGCGCATAATTATTGACAGACAAAAGCCTAAAAATGAATAACTGGCAACATGGTTTTTTCAGCAACCGTAAATAAATTTGAACTGAAATTTTGGCTTGTGATCCTTTACTTATGCAATAACAACATACACTAAAAGTTTTGGATTTTGACCAAAAAAAGTCAAAATATATGCATTTTAGTCAAATTTGGAAATTTTGGTGTTATTTGAGAACATAAAATCACTCACAAAAGTAGAACACAATTAGCTGCAAACATAATTCTAGTAGAGGTTGCAAATACAATTGTTACAAACAAGTGTGCCAAATTTCAGATCAAATCGGTTATCGGTTTGAAAAATATTTCCGTCGCCAGAGTATAAAACATGATTTTGAGAAAAACTCAATTTAAAAATAAAAACAAAACAAAAATTGTTCAAAACTCCCCACTTCCATAAACTGCACCTTTTAATGTTTCGTTTTGATCACATAAACCTTTTTGTATAGCTCTTAGTTTCTTGCGTCTCAATTTCACTATACTTGTGCATTGTTTTTCTGCTTTAGAAATGCGCTTAGAGTCATTTATAAGACAAAAGTTATGTAGATTGCAACCTACTGTTATTTCAAGCTTATCAAAAAACGTCTCTAAAAATTTTAGTCCATTATTAAAGTATAGGACAGCTGATGCTACTCCAACACATAAAGCAGTTCTATCTACAAGTATATCTTTGGGACACCGCTTCCAAATCAATTGATTCAGCGTCTCATTAGGATTCTCTGTTTTGCCGTGCAAACACTTTTCTAAAAGAACATCACAACCAAGATCTATAAATATTGGTTTTATAAAATCCCTCACAGCAGCAGAATACAAATATTTTATTTGTATGTTTTTTTTCCAGTTATTTTAACAGCCTGGAATTTGCACCAAGAATCCTTGGTGCGCAAACGAAATTGATGGCGTGTTTCATTGTCATAACTTTCAGAACAGTGAAAAAGAATAGCTGCTACACTTTTTTTCATTGCATATAAACTACTAATATTTTGTCTGATTGTTTTGCCATAATAATTTTGCAGTATGTTAATAACATTTTCTGTCAAACGACCTGCTCCACCTAGTTTTTTACCATCACTTAAAATTTCTTTGCTGTTTTTTTTTAAATTTCTTAAACGCGTGCCAACTCGTTTTTGAATATGACCAATGCACTCTGCTTTTTTAATTTCTACATTATGCCCATAAAATTTAGCAGCAACAACACTGGTATAAGAACTACTATCTCCGTCACCAAGATATGTGGTATACCTTAAATTGTTTTTTTTTCAGAACGATAAAAAAATTTTAAAATACCACTTGATTCCATAGCCGATGATGATCCAGTATGACTAATTTTACACTTTTGAAAATGTGATGACTGGAACTTTTTATATTTAACTGGATGTGTGAATTTTTTTAACTTTTATATTGAACATAATTTACATGTTTTTGTTTTTATTTGAAAGTCAATACATTTACCACTTACAACTGAAATTGCAAAAACAACTCCGTTATTTGAAGTAAAACCACGCTTTTGCCATGAACCATCAAAGCTACACATAATGTCTCTTGATGTTTCACCTGCAGGGATTAATTCATCAGCAGCATTTTTCATCTTCTGGTTAACTAAATTTTGATAAACATCTAACAGGTTATGTAAAGTTTTATTGTAGCTTTTTTTGTTCATAGGTGGCTTCATATTCATTATTCCACAAAATTTTTCAAACGACGATAACCCTTTACCCATTTCACGAAAAGCCACAATGATACGTGTGTTAATATCAAATGGTTTTTGCCCACTACATTTGTTTTTACTAGGCTCTTGTTGTTCAAGACAATTTTTTTTTTTAAATGTAGCAGATGAAAAAAACTCAGTTTTCCGATTGCAACTGTTGCAACATATTTTTAAACCAATACTCAAACCATACTTTTTTGACGAATCAAACATTAAAAAAACATTATCTTCACACATATTTGGGCATTTAAGTAACGATATAACGTTTTCCAACAGACTAAAGTTCATAACAAAGTTTAAATCTGTACTTTGAAAATCTTGAAAATCTCTATCAGCAATATTTAATTTTTTTTTGAAGAAGCAGAATGTGTAGCAGATTCGACAAAAGATAAAGTTTTCGTTTCTGAAGAAGGAATCTTTGTATATCTGTTTCAACAAAATTTTGTTTTTTTATTATTGATTATTTTGCTTGATAATTGTTCTCTCTTTGATCCACCCATATTATTTTTAATCTAAAAAGATAAAAAATTTACTACAGAATAAACAATAAAGTTTGAATGCAGCTTGAAACAAGAAGCGTATTACATGAATAAAGCCATCATGCTGAACTATTTAACAAGTAGTCGTTGCAGTCTATAACTTTGCACTTAAAACAGTAAGTATTTTATGGCTTTTTTATGGTTTTAACTTGTTTCTGAAGCTCATAACAACGGAATAAACAAAGCATTGCAAGGGGGAAAATAAAAATTATTTTAAACCGATACATTATAAACAGGTTTTAACATATGAAGCTTTTTTTATTTAGTTAAATCAACTAAAAATTCGAAATCTGCGATGATTATATTGAATAACTAATATCATTCAAAGAATAAAATTATTAACACTTAAAGATAAAGAAAAAAAAATGAATGAGATATTAACAATCGTACTATAGTATTATATAGATAAGTAGATATATATGAAAAAAACAACAACAACTGAAAAACAGTATACCTGCTTTTGGTAACCTATTGTGATACTGCAGCAGTTGCTGTAGGGATGCAGCTGTTCTTTTTGGTGTTGTTCAAAAACGTAATTTTTATGTTGGCTTTTAGTAAACTTTAGTTTAATTTAAAAGACATCACAACGGATTTAAAATACTCATAAAAAAAAAAGCAAAACATAAAATGCTTCAAGGAGCCAAACTATAAACATAAAAGATGAAAAATGGAATCGAGATAAATAAATTGTATTTATATAGGTAAATATATTGCCATGGGTTTTGGTAAATTTTAAAAGCAGTGAGTTCAATAAATGAAACAAACCAAATAATTTTTTTTAACAAAAGAATGCAGCATCATTATATTATGATAATTGGATAATGAATCAATTCAACTTTTGACTTTAGATTTTAGGGAGGGGTATTTAAGAGGGCTTTAAATTTGAAGTCAGATTTAATTGGTGAGAAAACAATTAAAATTTTCATTAAAAAAGATCAAAACAAATCAAATATACAACGTAATATATATTTGAAAAAAAATTACAAAATTAAAAAAAAAAAACACTGAAACAAAAAATTACAAAATTAAAAAAAAAAAAAAAAACCGAAGAAAAAGCAGCAACTAAAAAGTCATAAATATTTCTACTGATAGGAGACATTTACAACCTTTTGGTTGCTTTTTTTTTTTTTCGGTGTCTCTCGACACCCCGGTATGGATGAGACCTCCATTTAAAGGAGGGCTTATCCATTCCGCCATTATGTTTCCATTTATTGAAGGACCTCTCTGAGAGAGGTCCCGGGTGTTGGGGGCGGTAATTTTTGTACTCTTTGAATGATAAGGAATCTAAAGTTACAAATAGGAAAATAAAATAAAAATTATACATTTGCAATTATTAAAAAAAAAAAAATTAGCATAACCTCACCATTTTCATTCGAAACAGAAGATGCTAAAAAAAAAATAAAGGAGAGCAAATTAATAAGGGTTAAACATGCAACATTTTGTATTTTAATAAATATATATAGGGCAATAATGCAACTAGTTCAAAAGTGTCATATTTATTAATTTATTTTTCCACCTATTGCACATATTTCTTCATACAAAATATATAAAATATAAAACACAGCCAAAAAAAAAAAGCTATACTTCTACCAGACACTAAAGACAAATATATACTTAAATAAATATATAATAATCGATAAAATAATGTTAACATATAAATATATACATACCTAAATAATTGTTTTACCCATCTCCCTCATTTCATCCATAAAGTTGTCTAAAGTAAGAAAAAAATAACTAAAGCTAAAAACAAAACTATAAACTAAACCAAAACTATAAACTAAAGTATACTTTAAATCTTCTAAATATTAATGTTTTATTTATTAAACTAAACTAATCAAAATTTATACTTAGTTTTTGTTCCAAATCCCCTAAAAGAAAATATAAAATAAAGCTAAAGAACTTGATTTTTTAAAATTCCAGTGGCAGTACAAATAAACAAATTCCTATTAACAAATATCTAATAGTAAAAACACTGACTTAATTCCTTCTGCACTTCTTTATCTGAACAATAAAAGCACTTTAATGTTTAGACGTTAAAATATCGACGTTAAAATTTGACGTTAAAATATCGATAAAATACATATTAAATGCTACATTCAACTAATGTAATTAATACCTTTATTAGATCTCTCTTGATTAACTAAAGAATTTAAATTTTAAATAAACTCTAACTAAATTTTAACAAACAAACAACCAAAATAAATCTTCACTTTAATAGTACGTTATTAAGTTGATTAATAGATCAAACAATTAAATCTACTCTAATAATCTACTACCTTATTAATAAACATTAATTTTTTTTCTACGACTCAGTGTAACTATAATATGGATATTTTTAAAGTAAAAAAGAATTTAATATATTAATATATATGATTTTAAAAACCTGAAACTTTAAATCTACCTCAAAGAAAACAGATATATATTGAAAAGTATTTTTATTTCTTTTTAAAAATTTAAAAATGCTTTTTAACTTACTTGCTTCAATATTGTCATCATCTAAATAGAAAAACAAACAAACATTTAAGTCGACTCATTCTTAAATCTAGTTTAATTTCATCAATAATAAAAAAAATTTAATCTTTGAGGATTAAATTTATTTACAAAAGTTCGTTTAAGTTCGTTTAAACCATTTTAATATTGTAAAGTTTATTTAAATTAACAAACATATAAATGCAATTTATAACATTTGTTTATAACAAAATGAAAGAAAACTTACTTCTTAGTAATTCAGCAACCACAAATAAACATATATTTAAGAACTAACAACATAACATTATACATCTGTAACATAATACACATCTAAATAAATACAAACCTTCATCTTCAACCTGATTCATTCTATTAATTCGATATAAAAAATAAAAACAAATATTCTTAAAAACAAATTTAATAAAGGTAATTGACATGTTAAAACGCGCTTTTTAAAATTAGTCTGGAAATTCCAATCTCAAAATTCCAGAACAGAAGAAAAACTGCGCACAAATCAAACTGCGCAACACTGAGCGCAGTAACTAAGGTGAAAGAGCATTTAACTTTAGCTATGCAAATTACATCACGCATGTTTAATTAAGTACGTTATGATTACCCGGTGGGAAATGAGCTAGCGACTAGCTAGCGACTAGCTAGCTCTATAGCGATTTTGAAGCGATTTTTTTTTTCTTATTTTATTTTTTGCAAATGTCTTTAACATCTTTAAAAATTCGATTTTTATGGTGAGTCTAATATAATTTTGAAAATAATTAAACTTTAAACATTGCGATTTTGTAGCAATGTGTCGCTAGCTACATATCGTAGCTTTGTAGCTAGCTACAAAATATCTACAAATCTATAGCTGGTTGATAGCTACATATCAAAATCTTTTAGACAACGATTTTATAACGATATGACGCTAGGTACATTAGCCAGTGGATATTCAGCTTATTAAGCTAGCTGTCCTCATAGCCAAATCGCTGTTTTTATCTTTAAAAATATCGATAGCTTTTCGCTAACTTAAAAAAGCTATCGATCCTCGTGGCCAAATCGCTGTCTTTATCGTAACGATTATAGCTAGCTATTCGCTAGCCGATTTCCCAGCGGGTATCAACTTTAAAAAATGTCTAAAATTTGAACTCATTACGCAACTAATCAGTTTATTTACTAATATGTAAACATATCTGTACATAAAGATAATTTTAGGACCTAACATGTCTCAATTCTATTTTTGTGTAAATGAGTTTAATACAAACTTGTCGCATATTCTGTCGGGGCCAAATAGCCTTCTAATTTTTGTTTACTGCGGTTTAACAGGAAACAAAAATCAATCTAGTCTTAAATCCATTTTATTAGCTGAAAAATCATAAAAAAGTATTACTATACTATCACATTTAAACTTGTATATATCACATTTTGCTACTAAACATGTTTTAAATTGACTTTTGAGGTTGTTAACGTGACATAATCTCATGTTTGCAAACAAAGCTAACCGGACCCGGTCATGTTAAGCCTTCTAAACTCTGACCATTTCTATATTGAATAGATAGCCTCTTTTATTTCAATAATTTTTTGCAAACGGTAAAGTAATTTGCTGCCATTTACTAAATATTCCTTTTATTACTCGAAGTTTCGGTTTCGTCAATATTTTGACATCTCCGCTTATTAAGAGCCCCTCCCCTTTTTTTGTTTTAATGGTAGCCATGTGAGTAGAGTTTTTTTTATTAAGAGTAATTTATTTATGATGAAGACCTTTTACCAAAATAATAAAGCGTAAAACAACGATTTACATATATAAGAATTTTTTCTTTCTTCAAAAGTGTTGCAATTGCAGACTAAACTAATCAACTTAATATTTGACAAACTGCAAGTCTCCCTGTGTTTTTAACAACGAATTATTAAAGCATAAGATAGGGAAAACATCGGGAAAAAAAATATTAATGTCTTTATATCTTTTTAACAAACGAACAAAATTTTACAAATTTAGAAAATCAAGTTGTTTTTTTTTTATATTGTATTAATACGTCATATGGTAAAATCTAAAATAAAAAAAGTAACGGAATTATAACATCATATATATATATATATATTATATATATATATATATATATATATATATATATATATATATATATATATATGTATATATATATATATATATATATATATATATATATATATATATATATATATATATATATTTGTATATACACCACATATAAACACTGAAAATCGATTTACCTGTTTTTGTAACCTTTTGATATTGCAGTTAATATAAACATTTAAAGAAAAAGGTAGCTATAAAATCTTTTTCGAAGTACTAAAGGATTAACAATACTAAAGAAGAAAAAAATCAAATAAAGACATAAATTGAATTTTTAGCAAGATTTTGTCTTGGCTTTTAGTAAATGAATAAAAGCAGCAAGTTCCAATAATGAAACTATCTATTATTCATTTTTAACGATAGGCACCAACGGGAAGGTAAGCCAAGCTGTCTATCACAAAACACAAAACACAAAACATCACAACAATATAACAATATTATACATTATAACAATACATTACAACATTATAACAATAACACATAACATTAACACATATTCACACCTATATAACTAATATTTACACCCTTGACTCTAAAATCCAGTGGAAAATAACAAACCAATTTTAAAGAATATGAAAGGCAAAACTAAAAAACCAATTTTGAGTTATCTATATTTATCCTTTTACTAAACTTTAATATAGTATATTTGCTTTTATATTCAATATTAGTTGTTCAATTATTTCAAATTTAAGGATTAAGGTTGCATGCTCTTTTATACACATTACACAAAACATTACCAGACATTATGTGTTTCCAGAATAATTAAAAAAAGCTACACAACACAACCTAGCTCTAAAGCAGTAACACCGCCTAGCACAAAATACTGCCAAGTCACACCTCTGCTATAAGTACACCGCTTGGCTGGCAAGGTTAACAATCTTGCTTAACATTTTTCCAAGTCACACCACTTTGAAAACATGGAAACAACATAATGTAAACATATATACAACTATAAACAAATATGACTTCATATAACACATATAAACACAATATATAACAATATTAAATGACAAATAAATTTATCAAAAACTATGAAAAAAAAAATATATTAAAGTTACACATACAAAATGTGCTCACAACCTACAAACAGTAAATTTTAGAAATGAAAATATTAAGACTATAAATTAAGAACATTAGAAAATATAACATTATTTGTGTAGTATTTTTCACCTATCATACCTTCAATAGGATGTTTATCAATTTTGAAAAACAAACTATTAAATGCTCTAGTTCTTAAACATGTAACGTATAGTTAACCATGGGAGAAACACGGTTTTTTTAGATATACCCCAACTCTATCAAATGTTTGACCTTGACTTTTATTGATTGTCATCGAATAAGCCAATCTGACAGGAAACTGACGACGTTTTAGAACAAAAAGTAAATTAGAATCTGATGGAGCCAACTGAATTCGAGGAACAAATACCCGTTTACCTTCAGAAACATCTGTCAAAACCTCTGCATCAATATAATTGTTTTGGAGAGCACAAACTTTCATTCGGGTTCCATTACATAGCCCAGCTTTAAGATCTAAATTTCTAAGTAGCATAATTGCACAACCAATTTTCAATTTTAAACAATGAGTAGGCATACCTGAAGGAGTTAAGCTGTTCAAAAACTCAACAGGGATATTATTTATTTCATTAAGATCGTCAGTGTCTATTTGATCAGCACTTAAATAAGTTTTGAACTCTTCATTTAGACGTTCAAGCACTTCTTCATTGATTGACAATGAATCCACATTAGTGGGTGTTAAAATGACACGTTTAGCATAATCATCTTGTAGAGCATCTCCAAATATTTTTTCAACAATTGATTCGTTTTCTCTAATAATGCACTGTTGCGGTATTTCAATACATCCCTTGAAAGGATCTTCCTCCTTGACAGGTATTGTTCCACTACCAAGTTTTAACAGCCATTCGGAAAAATCTCCTTCTCCATCACGTATTCTCATATTTTCAGTTAATGTAAACTTCTGCACCCATTGCCACTGTAAAGAACATTTTATATATGATTCTACAACTTCAGCTGGTCTCCCTCTTTTCACAACAGGCAAAATTTGCCTAAATTCACCACCAAAAAGAATGACTTTTCCTCCAAATGGAAAGTTGTTGTTGCAAACATCTTTTAACAACCGATCGATTGCATTTAAAGCGTGTTTGGGAATCATGGATGTCTTGTCAAGCATAAACAAACTAACTTGCTTTAAAAATTGTCCCTGAATAGAGTTAGGAGTCACATTACATGTGCTGTTATCCAGTATTGGGACAGGAAGTTTAAACAACCCATGCAGCGTAGATCTATTTGTAGGAAGAGTTGCTGCTATGCCAGTCCATGCAGGTGTAGCAGATTTAACACCCCGACTGCTCATTTCAGCAATCAAATAATTATATGTAAAAGTTTTGCCACTACCGGCTGGTCCATCCATAAAAAACATTCTGGAATGTTGATTTTCTACACATGGTTACTCGTTCAATGCAGCAAGGACACCATTACTTACATTTAATTGATTGACATTAAGAAGCGGTCTCATTCTATTAGCTTCGTCAATTGATTGCTGAAAATTATCATTTAAATTTTCTAGATTAAAATCTATGAATTCATCAACAACAGGCAAATTTAGCTAATATAAATGGAACTTGGCGATGAATGAACTCCTCCATCATAAAAGCTTTGTATGAATTCCAAAGATGCAAAGGGTCATCTGGTTCACAAAAGGTTAAAATAATTGAAAACAGCTGCCTGATTTGTTTAGGCATTTGCGTTAAAACTGCCTCAGAAAGAGTATTCTGCCATTCAGTGTCATCTTGCAACAAACCATTAAAAGCATACGCTTCACGAAAGGTTTCAAGAACTATTCCATTAACAGTACGCAAATCCTCCCAAGATGTTGCTTTTTTTGCTTGTAAAAGTAACAATCTAAGAAAAAATAATTCTCTTGTTGGACTAACTTTATACATTCTTATTATCACCTTATTTCCACCTCTTTGTCTAACCTTCCATTTACAATGTTTATCATCAAATACAAAGTGATATGGAATGTCAACATATGAGTAGCGATGGGCTCCTTTATTTTCAGAATTCAATTTAAACCAGGCCATAAGGTGTGTATCACGATGAGCAGCACGATCTAACGCCAATTGTTCTTCTCCTTCTCTAAAATACACAATCTGATTCTCAGGAAGATGAACCTTAAGACGGATAATAGTGTGTGACATATGACTTATGGGATACTCAAACATTCGCCACAGTGCCTCAGGTGCACTAACATAACGACAATCTAAGAAAGTGTTTATTTCATCGTGATTAACCTGTTCATTTATCAAAACATTCGCACAATCATGCCCTTTGTATATGTATTTGTACAAATATTTAACAGCCTTTACAGACATGCAAGCTTCAACATTAATGTGGGCTTGATATTTCTTTGATAACCAAGGATTATAAGGTACCACCCAACGGTTATCTACATTGTTGCCTTTAATATTGATAACCAACCCATTATCACGATGCCTATAGCGCGGATAATCATTGTGAACAACTACTGTGTTAGCATTAAAATCTTTAGGATAATTTTTGCTGCACACCCCATCTTTCATGCAGGGAGAATTTGAATTCAGTATCCCACATGGGCCGTGAATCATGCAAGTTTTGATAGTATCATAAAGTTCACAATTAACTATTGGATCTGGAATTTCTGCACAAATCAAATTATCGATATCCTGTGATGTTTCAAGTTTATCATCATTTGCTAAATGAAGTAAAATGTGGGCATGCGGCTATCCACGCTTTTGAAACTCAATAACCTGAACATGCGTTACAACTTTGCCTAATACACCATGTTTAAATATATCATTGACGAGGTTATTTAACTTGAGTTTAAATACTCGAGTAACCAAATCAGGTCTATCATTCGCATTCTGACCCAGATATAAATTTTCTGTTATTTCACACCATTTTGGGTTGCAAGTAAAGGTTATAAAAAGATCTGGTTTACCATACTTTTTAATAATTGCCATAGCATCTTCAAAGTTTTCTTTTAAAGCTCTAGGACTTCCTACATAAGATGATAGCAAAACTACTACTCGTCCTGGTCTAATATTACGATCATTGGCAATGTTGTTAATATGTTCATGTAAGGCATTGTACTACTCGCTTCTCAGCTTATTTTGATTATTTCTGATAAAAGCAAGACGCTGGCCTTCAATTTTTACATATGCATCTACAGCATATTGCTGAAATAGTTTCTTGCCATAAAATAATGAACAGAAAAATTTCCTAACAGAAAGTCTATAATTGTAGAACTGACATAATATAACATGATTTCTAACCAGTGTGGCACACTCAGGGTTATGCACCAATTGATTATGCCAACCAGCATCACCTCTTGAAAAAAATAGCGGATAAACCATAGGATCCAAGTTAGCTGACATACTTGATACAATTTGTAAAGGATGACCTCTTGGGTAAATAACAACTTCCCTGGAAGTTAGGGGAGCACCATCTTCGCCAACAAATACAACTGCAACTTCATCATTTGAAGGTAGATTATAACAACGTCTATCACCGCCTTCAAGTAAAGACATTTTTACAACAGAAGCTGAGCGACCTTCTATAGCCGCCTTACGAATTTCTTCATTATTTACTTCAGCCATGTTTTTAAATGCAAAAGCAAATGGACTTTGTTCCATAATTATAGTTTGCAATTGAAACATTAAATCACGTAAACATAGATCATTACCACAGTGTTGCATTCTAAAATTTAGTGCAGCAAGTGGATCATAAATATATAGTTGAGAATATATTGGTGGAATATCTTGATCTGGCCTAAGATTACCTACACGATGAAAAATCTGGCCACATATTTTAAAACATGGAAGCTCATGATTCATTGGTTGAACTACATTTGCTGTAAAAGAAGCAAAAGAAAGGCAGGCATTATAACTTCGAATATGTTTTAAAAAATTAGCTTAGCATTACGATCTACATAACTCCCTGTAAACAAACCCTGTAAAGCTTGTGTAATTGGTGAAAGTGGAGGCAAAGTTACCTTACCATTATGGCAACATAGAAAATGTGTTTCATCTGGAAATTTCTTAGCACCACAGTGCTGACAAATTTGATTCATTTCTCCTAAATAATTATAATCTGGAATAGCATTAACTTTTGCTATAGAATACATTCGTCCTTGTCCAACAGCTCTTCTTTCATTTTGGCGACGATTAACATTATCTCGATCGAGCCTATTTCTTTCATTTTGGCGACGATTAACATCTCGATCGAGCCTATTTCTTTCATTTTGACGACGATTAACATTATCTCGATCGAGCCTATTTCTTTCATTTTGTAAATGAATAATTTCATCTCGCCTAAGTCTATTTCTTTCATTTCGTCTACGACTATTTTCAACACGCCTTATAGCACTTACATCATTTTGTAAATGCATAACTTCATCTAGCCTATCATTCATTTCAATGTCATCATTTTGATTAAACTATTGATTGATTTATCAAAGCAACACAAATTATTTCTTTTTTTTACTACTTTAAAGTTAACAATAAAATAAAAAAACTTAATAAATAACTAAAAAAATCTTACTCAAAAAATTAAAAAAAAAAATTCTCAAAACAAATATATAAAGAATCCAAACTAATGCAAAACAAAATTAATTTGCCATCATCAAAAGTAATACAGGTTACTTAAGTTTATTTGATAAAAGTTAAAAAAAACCTGCAACCATATTAGCAAAAACTTAATACAAAAAGTTAAAATTTATTCTAATTCTAATGAAGAAAAAAAAATTTAGAAACAAACAACATATCTTTGCAGACAGCGTCATAAGGCATGCGTTGGGAGAAAACATTGAACAAAACGTGTAATAAAACTTATTAACGCGTTATGTACAATAGAAAACGGGTTATTAACGCAGGTTTATAAATTTTTTTCCCCCAACACACTATTACGCTGCCGCAACTCCAAGGATATACATAGTTAAACGTAAACGGACGTGCTTTTGTAAACTAAATTAAAAATGGCTAAATTTACCGTTTCTCAAAATAAAGATCTATTAGATATTCATGAGAATACTTTATTGAAAATATTTAACGAGAAGTTTGATAAAATGGAAATCAAACTATTAAATCTTCAAGAAAAAAATTCAAAACTAAAAAAAGAAACTAGTGAATTATAGAAATCGGCAGAGTTTCTTAGCGAGAAATATGAATCAATTGTTCAAAAACTTTCTGAAATAAAAAAAAAAGCCTAACTCAACATCAAGCCAGAATGATATAACAAATGTTGTTGTCAAAGACAAACTTGCTGAGTTGGAAGACAGAAGCAGAAGAAATAATCTATGGTTTACAGGAATTGAGGAAGACGAAAATGAAAGGTAGGAATTAAGCGAAGAAAAGATTCAAAATGTTTTAAAGTCAAAACTTGGTTTTAAAGGTAATGTTGAAATTGAACGTGCGCACAGGACGGGGAAAAAAAATAGCAATGGAAAAAAGTATAACAGATCCATAATAGTAAAATTTTTAAATTACAAAGATAAAAAAACTGCGTTGGATAACTATGTTCAGTTAAAATTGTGGAACGATCGGCTTTACGTAAACGAAGACTTCAGCGAAAGAACTTTGGAATTGCGAAAACAGTTATTTAAAGAAGCAAAAGATCTGAGAGCCAAAGGTAAATATACTAAAGTTGTATATAATAAACTTGTAACGCGCGACAATTAAGAAATTCTTTTATATTAGAGTTATTATTTTATCTTAAATTTTTTATTGTTTTTAAATACTAAAATGGATTCAAATCACTTAAAGAGTTTTGATATTTTTCAATTCAATGATTTTTTTTATTATTTTGATTCACCTCCTCAAGGCCGAGAAGGCCACTACAGACGAGGAGGCTACTTATTTGTGGCTATAACCCTCTCTCAACTCTATAACTCCAAAACACGAACCTTGACGAACAAGGCCGCTGCGCGGAGAAACGAGTTGAGCGCGGTACTACCAGGGACCTGGTGGGGATCGAACTCGGAATCACTCGTTTATGATGCAAGCGCTCTACCACTACACCACTACTGCATTTTATACTCAACAAAGAGTCCGATCCGGATCAAAGTTTTTTTAGCGAAACAGGTGCTTTACAAAGCAACTGCAGCTGTTTCTATAGTTATGAAATAAAAGAATTTCTTGAGCATGATAAATTTAATGCAGTTCATATAAATATAAGAAGTTTAAAAAAAAATTTTGAAAATCTTTGCAATAGTTTTGAGGAAAATTTAACTCTTTTTAGTGTAATATGCATAACTGAAACTTGGTGGAGTTCTAATGACTCAAGTTTAGATAATAAATTTAAAATACCGGGGTATAATTTGATTTCATTAGGACGGAAAACAAATAAACGCGGCGGTGGTTTAAGGGGCTACCCCCCTCTGTTTTTAAATCTAAGTATTTTAAAAAAAAAATGTTATGGGTTTCTAGGTTTTAGTAAAATATAAACCTTTTTGAAAAAAAAAATTAAAAAAAAATTGGTGGTTTCCTTGGCAACCAAAAAATATCCCTAAAATGACCAAAAAATAACTTCACGCTGGCCAAAATATAAGAATATGTGTACATATTTACCTTTTAAAATTTTAATACAATATTATCATAAAGTAGGGCTGTGAAATAAATGGATCAGATTTTTCATAACATTTTGCCATCATCAAAATGGCGCAATCAAAGATCATGGTCATAATTTTCATCGATTTTAGGTCATATATATATATTTTTAATAAAATAAATAAATTCCAATCCATTTATTTCACAGAGTATAATATGATAAACACTTCCTGAAAATTTCATACAAAAATGTAATACGGTTCTCCAGATAATTTGGCCGGCGTGCACAAATTTCTATTTTGAGAAAAAGACAATTTAAGTTAAAATTTTTGAAAACAATACAATTTTTTTCATAAAAACTGTTGAAAAATAAAAAAAGTTTTCAAAATCCACCAGGAACATACAAGTCACCTTCTTTTTCAATTATTTTCTCCTTCTTCTTCAGTTTTTTGGCACGTAATACTTGCCTTCTTAACTTTTTAACAGGGTTCATTCTAATTTCTGTTTTTTGTAATCTTTTATTATTTAATGATTTGCATCCTGCAATCATATGAAAGCCTGGTTCCATGTCCAGTTGCTTCAAAATATCAATAGATGCTTTTGCTCCAATATTAAAATTGGCAACAGCATCATATACGCCAATTGTTAATTGGGTAAGTGATACAAATGTTTGTTTTGGTATATGCTTCCAAATCATTATGACATCCATTGGTAAACCTGGTTCCGGCTTATAGGTTGATGTCTTATTTATTTTATTGGCATTGTATTTGCACCAGCTGTCTGCACCAGTGAGGCAGTGTGGGAAATGTAAGCTATTATTTTTTGAGGAAGGAACATGAAATAGTGATGCCAACACCAGTTAGATCAGATTTTTGGAGGCTTTGAGTTAAATTACAACCTTTACAATATCTGGACATGATTTCAACATTTAAAATTTTGCCACTAGCAGTAGAGATGGCAGAAAAGACTCCGTTGAGTGATGAGTATCTTTGTTTTTGCCATGTTCCATCGCAAGATAAACAAATATCGGTTACTTTCAAAGCTGTATTTTGCAATTTTTTAGCAGCATTTAACATTGTTCGTTTTGCTACATTTTTAACAGCTTTTGAAATTACTTTTATCAGTTTTTCAAAATTGTTTTTGGTCATTGGCTTAGGTAGATTCATAATGGTACAAAATTTTTTGATGCCTGCATATCCATGACCCAATAATCGCATACAATAAATTACTTGTTTATTGATATCAAATCCTTTTATATTTGTCATAGTTAGAAGTGTAAAACTTTTGAAAATAGTTACAAAGCTCTTTTCATACACTTCAGATATAGTAAGGATGATAAACCACGTCGTTGAGTATATCTCCCACTTAGTGAGAGTGTTGAACAACCACATTCTGGACACAGAACAAAACTTAAAATAGACAGTAAAACAGCAACATAAATTATACGATAACCAGATATGGCAGGTTTTGAAATAATTTTATCTTTTAAGTTTTCGATTTTATGAGCTGAAGCTGATAAATTAGGTGGATTTTCAAAAATTGGTTCAGTAACACAAGTGATGTTAGGATATTGTCGTATATACTGAAGAATATTGTCGTACTTGATGTACCAAGGTATTGGTAAATTCCATAAAAACGCATCAAGAAGTTGTTCAAGCTTATGCATTGCAAGTGTAACACTATTTTGAATGAAATTAAGGTAAAAGTATGGTGTATAAAATTGTTTAAGTGCGTTGCTATGGCGTTGCTAAGGAAATTATTTAAGAGGTGGTTAACTTAAATAGACAATTTAAGATAGTTAAAGATTAATCTGATACATCCAAAACAAATTTTATGATTCTGCATAGTTTGAAAGAGTTAAAATTTATAAAAAAAAAAATTGAAAATTTTGAAATTTTATGGGGGGATAGCCCCTTAATTATTTATGTAAAAGAAAACCTTCAGTATTTTATTAGGCATGACATGAGTATTTCTGATGTCAATAAAGAGGTTTTAACAATTGAAATATTGAACAATAAAACTAAAAACATTGTGATAAGCTGTTGTTATCGCCC